TTATTATTATTTATTTTTATTTTTTTCTCAGTCATATAAAGGCAGAAATTTGGAATGTTTCTTTCAGCTGTGGTGAAAACAGTTTCCAATAGCTTTCTATAAAACTCCTTCATAATCTAAGCCTGTTATAGCAAGAGTGGGATTAGTTATGCAAACCTGCTAGATTTAAACAGTCAAATGATACCTGAAAGAAACTTCCCAACTCCATAGACAACTACCTTCAGGATTTCTTCCTGATTCTCATGAGTAAATGTATCTTGATTGAAGTGAAAGTTCAACAAACTTGCTGTGCCTCTGAAATTTATGATAAACTACTCCATGCCAACTACATGTAAATTATAAAAAGACTTTAAAACAATATAAAAAGTTAGAAAATCTCTTATGAACACCAGCTGCAGGAGACTGTATTAAAGTGAAAAGGTTTGAGTCAAAAGTATGCTGAACAAAAAGAAAGGTAAAGCTAACTGAGGAAAAATATTACTTTAGATAACATAACTCATTTGAGCCATCATATATTTCTTACCATCAGTTAAACATAATGATCTTAACGAGAGTAGAATTCACCATGCATAAGTGCAAGTTTATTTCAACAAAGAGATGTTCCACCTTGTAGTCTTCAGATACCTGCTCACAAGTCACCTGTCCAGTTTATCATATGGATGTTGACGCAACATTGACTTCACAGATACAATGGCAATTGCTGTATTTCTCAAGCATTAGATGTGTGAGTGAAGTTGATAGATGAGAAAAGGAGGGAAAATTGTTCTAATGTATTTTGCAACTGCTCAAAACTGAGGAAGAGGATTTGAGTCACTCAACAGAGGAAGAAGATTGCCATTTATCATTAATTTATCCCATCCACCAACATTCCCATCAGTCAGCCAAATATAGAGACATGTCAGTCAACTACCACCAACAATCTTAGATTGTTTTGTTACTTTGCTTCAGTGAGAAAATTCTTCATCTTAAGTATCTTAGTTTGATTTCTGCTTTAGTAAATACTGGTACTGTACTATTTTGGAGGAAGGGATACATACATACACACAGTCTCTTATTCAAATGAATTTTCAGTGAAACAAAAAATTCCAGTGCCATCTCAAATCTGGTTAGTCTCTTAAAATTTGTTGTACTGAAATAAAATATGAAAAAGATTATGTTAAACAATCACTGGATAATAGCATCCTTTCTAGAGTATCTAATAAATAAATTCCTAAACTTATGTTGAAAAAGTTGTCAAAATAATTTAAATTTTTAGCTGTAAAACAGGATCCAGAGTTATGTTAACATACGTAGAGAGAACCCTGCTTATTTCCTGACCTTCTATCAAACAGGAGAAATAGAAGTTATTTGGAAAGCTTTTCCTAAGGCAAGGGCTCGAGATGACATAAAAGAACAGCGGTACTTAGGATGACCTGTGAGTCCTTCCAGGTCTGTAATTCACTCTCAAACAACCCCAACACCTACAATGTGTATATTATTAATATTATGCTATCGGTAGTGTCAGCATGACAAGGACAGAGAAGGTTAATAATCATCTATGATTTTTATGCAAAGAGACAGCTATCCAGAGCAATTACACTGTTTTGAGGCAGTCTGCTCTTGAACAGCTTTAGCTATATTTCCCGACATAAACATTCTGTCTGTCACACTGTGTTCAATAATATGTTAAAAATCATTAATTCCAGTGATTAAGATATTACCTCTACCTCAAAATCTTCAAATTGATATGTCAGTAAACAGAAGGCAGAAAAAGAAAAACATTTCTATCGTTTAAGCAGATAACTGATTTTTAAAATGTATTATTTGATATTTAAGAACATAAAGCAGCGGATGGCTATCTGAAAACCTTGGTTTGTCCTCTTTCCAAAATATTTTCTTCTGGTATGCTTTCTTAGCTAGGTTTAGTTTTTTTCCTGCTTTTTCCCCCGCTACATACTCAAAGCTGAAAGTAACTATGGCCATGATTCCAGTGAATCACTATTTTTAAGTCAGACTGAGCACTGATGGTAGTGAAGAGGAAATAAAAATTGGATAATATTCCTTCAGGCTTGATACTTCTTGAGTTTCCTTTTCCACTCAAGTGAGCTAAATTGGCAGGTGGGAAGAGATCCATTTGAAACATTTTATAAAATAAAAGCATTTCTGAGAGATTTAACTATTTAGAAATACTGGGTGCTAAAGGGAATCATCTTTCAGTCTTGTTTACTGAGGACTTAGTTCATGTGTTATGATATAAGCCTATAAAAGATAGTTATTAAAGAAGCTCTCTAAGACTTTACAGTCTAGGAGCAGGTAGTCAGCACTGATGGAGTACTTTCTGTATGGCGGGCACTAATTTAAGTACTTTACAAACATCAATGTATTTCACCATTGTAACAACTCTAAGATGCAAGAATTATTAGTCATATTTTAGAGATAAGGACAAAGACATGGATAGTTTGAGTCACTTGCTCAAGGTCACCAACTATGTTAACAGTTAGCTAACCAATGAGGTTACTGCAGGAGTTTGAGAGAGCTAAAATAGATGGCATCATTTTTCACCCTTCTGAATTGGAAACAAAGTGAGAAACAGATACTGGAGTCAAATGGATATGTATGAAAAATCAACTTGTTACTTACAATGCCTGTGTTGAAGAACATGGCATTAAGTCTGTTAGTCAAATAGTGTCGATAATATTTTAACACTAAATTGGACATACTTATCTAATCACTGTCCCTGGCAGGATTTAAAAATCAACGATTTCCAGGGTCATCTGCCTGAAAAATAAATTTCATTAAAAGAGCAGAACAGAACATATGTTCTCTGCAGGAAGGCAGATCACAAAGAGGTAAAAAGAACAGAGAGAAGGGACAGACACGATACAATCTTCCTGAATTAGCTTCTTATTTCTGTAAAGATCATCACAAACTTATTAGCTGAATACATCATCCCCTATTTGTTATCTTATAGTTCTGGAGTTCAGAGGTCCTAGAATCCAGGTGTTGGCAAGCTACGTTCCTTGTGAAGGTTCTAGGGACAACACACGTCCCTGCCTTTTCCAGCTTCTGCGAGCCAGCTGCATGCCTTCGCTTGTGGCCCCTTTCCTTCAGCTTCAAAAGTTCACCATTCCATCCTCTGCCTCTCTCATCACATTGTCTGCTCCCTCTTTGACACCTCTTGGTTGCCTTTTATGAGGACCCTGTGATTACTCTGATCTCTTGGATAATCCAGGATAATCTTCCCATCTCAAGATCCTTAAAATAATCATATCTGAAAAGTGTCTTTTGACATATAAGGGAACATACTCACGAGTTCCAGGGCTTAGAACGTGGACGTATTTGAAGGGCATTGTCATGTCTAACATATATCCTCAAACTCACCACTGGGAAGGAGTGAATAAAAGAGAAAAAGGGTAAAAACTGTTAATCTACTGTGGCTCTTTTCAAATGGTATCATTATATTAGAGGAAAGAGATCACCTCCCTAGTCAATATTTTGCAGTGTGTGGTTTCTTTTTCAGTCCTAATTAAAGCTAGTATTGCTTCTCTCAGAACAGGAAATCATGAAGAACCTCTACTCTATTAACCCACTTTCCCACTACCAGTTAAGCTGCTTTATGCATCTGTTTGGGACCACTAACATGTATTCCATTATTGCAAGTGGGGTTTTGAAGTTTTCAAGTATTATCATTGAATTGTGTATTCCATGTTTTATTTCCATAAGATTTTGCTTCACATTTTTGGCTTCTGTTAGGTGTACATGTGCTCATGATAGCTATACTTTCATGATGGTTTGACTCTTTTCACATTATGTAATGTCTTGTTTGTTTCTAGTAACAATAGTTACAATTCTCTGAATGCTTACTATGTTCCAGGCACAGTTCTAAGCAAGTGTCATTTATGGTTCATGTACAAGTGCATCATACTGAGACTATAAAATCAATTCTATTTTTTTTTGGTTTCTTATTGAAAAATAATTTTCAGTGGCATTTTTATTATTTGAGCTATCAAGGATGGTATTAAATATTTCTTGGTCCTGAAGTATGTTTCACTTTGGATTATTTAATTTATTTGTTTACTGACTGTTGAACAATCTGAGGACTATCACAGACCCATGTTTGCTGTCAAGTGAAGAACTGGGCTTCCCTTCAGCCTTGGTCACTATTAACCTGTAAATAGGCATTATTCCCAATTCACCTTAGAATATAGAAAATTTAAGGATAAGATAGATTTCAAAACCAGTGCTATTAAACAGATTTCAACTAGAGTACTTTTGCTTGTTTCAGCAAAGTTCTTTTCTGATAGATTTGATCACTAAAAAGTGGCCCAGATCACACAAATCTGGGCCACTACTACATTTCCCATTATGTACTACTATCAACTTTATTTCTCTATTCTTTCCAAACTAGGAAACTTAAAAAAAAACAAACAAACAGCATTTCATGCCCCCCCCTCCAAAATATGAGTAACACTCTATACCTGTACTTAATTTAACACTTGTGTGTGTTTATGTGTGTTTGCTGCAATCCAGAGATGAAAACCCATGTAGAGCTTTTGATGGATGTGAAATGGGGAGGTAGAGAAAAGGATATTGTTCTTACTGAACGAAAACGAGGGAGAGGGATGGTTTTTCAGTTCTCTTGTCATCGATAATTCTAGGACTCTCAGCTGGGAGACAGAAGGTGAAGGAAGCTCTGAGTTTCCTAGTAAGACTGCTTCAATTTTTGCAATTTTGAGTCTACTCAGGAGCAAAACAAGTGTTTCCCACTGCTTCTGATTTTAAATTCTGTAATTCTGTACATCTCCTACCTGGTGAACTATTTGCTAATACGTTTACTTTTGGTAAACGTCTTTTGCCAGTCTTTTGCAATTTTATATTTTTCTGTCCTTTATAGGTATTTTAATACACAGGCTTTGTGAAGCATTTTAATCTGTCTCCGCTTTTGATATTCCCAAATTATTAATTTACCGTGCTCAGTTTTACACTGAATTTTAATTACTTTCTTTGATAATAAATTCATAAATAATACATAATTTATATAAAGTTAACATAAATTAATTTTATTTTCTACATTTAGAACAGACAGAAAAATTGCATAAATACAGCTGTAAGTCATACCTCAGCTCTTTTGGCAACCAAATAAATAATTTTAAATATAGCAGGTCAAATTTATTAGTGAATTATTGCCTGTCTCACCCAGATTAAGAAACTCTAAATCAATATTTTTTTAATTTCTCAGTATTCTCTACTCTTAAACAAGAATAATTCTTTTCATAGTATTGCAAAATGCAACTCTCAATTATGTATCATTTTTTTGTGTGTGTTACAGAACAAGAAAGCAGCATTTGTCAGCAAACATTCACATGTCTGCTGCTGCCTCTGTCTTCTTTTCAAGAGTAAAATCATCCAGAGATAACAGACTCCAGGGAAAAAGTCAACAAATTATAGAGGAACAACACAATTCCTCTGTGCAAGTTGGCAGCGTGGATTCTACATCCCAGGCTTGTGACGCTCTGGTGAGAAGCCTGCAGAGGGGCCGTTCTTCCTCGTCAGGGGTAACATGAGCAGCATGTAGAAGGCTGATATTCAGTCCTGGCAAACTGAATTTTCTATTTTGTTTAAAAATAGCATGAATCAGAGTAGGATCCATGGATCAGGCTTTTTTGAGGTATCATATACAGGTTTGTCACATTGTTTTGCTGAATTTGAATACACTCCATCTACCCTCCATGGATTGCAGGAATTAAAGAAAGAAAGAAAAGAGAAAAGCAAAGCAAAGCAAAGCAAAGAAAATTAAAGAGGAAGGGAGGGAGGGAGGGAGGGAAGAAGGGAGGGAGGATGGATGGATCTGGATTTCAATTCGTAAGCTCTGGATTTGAGTCCCAGATCTTACGTTACTAAAGAGGTAAATAACTTAATCATGTGTGAGATCCAGATTCCCTAGTAAAGAAAATACAGATACCACAACATTGTGAAGATGAAAAATGAGGCACTCCATAAAACTCCCAGATGATGAGGGAATAAAGACCTAAGACTTGAGCTCCATCATGGGTATGGAGATACTGGCAGGGAGAACATGCAAGAGAGAATAAGAATGTGGGAAATTTACATAGCACCGTGGAAAGAAAGTAGACATTTAAAGTTGTTTGGATTTAAGTTACAAGTAATAGAAATGTAAAATAAATTTGGAAAAGAACATTGGTCTAGATCACGAGTGTTCTTGCATGCTAGACTAAAGAATGTTGATTTCATTCAATGGAAAATCAGAAATGGAAAGCTATTCTGTATAAAGTGGGAAGCCAGAGACTGGTATGATAAATAGGGGATCAAAATGACAGAAAAAGAAAACCAGGGAAAAGGTTATGTTTGAGGCAAAGAAAGTTCAGGTTATCTGAGTGCAAGTGAGAATGGAGGGTTGAGAAAAATATTGAGGCATGTGGAATTCAACTGTGATCATCATTTTCATTTATTAGGTGATGACTCTGTGCCAAGAGCTCCACATGCATTATTTAGCCTTATCTTCGTGACAAGCCTAAGAGAAGCACTGTGAACCCACTGCAGAGAGAGGTAAGTGAGGCCCAAGAACACGTGGCTGGGGAGCCAGGGGAGGTGAGATATGAACCCAGGCCGTCTCTCTTCAGAGCTCCTAGCAATTGTGCTCGTCTAGAATCCCGTCACTTACAGAGAGGCATGAGAAAGGCAGAATTCTGACATGACAGCAGTTTTCCAAACTTAGTAACCGAGACGATGCAAATGATAATCATAGAAAGATGACACAGTCGAATAACGGGAAACAAAGTGAGTCTATTTTTGACATTTTGAGTTTCAGTCCTTATGGATTATAAAAGTGGAGACGTCCAGCAAGCAGATGGAACCACAGGATGAACTCAGGAAAAGGGTGCGGACAGGCACCCTTTAGAGTTTTCTAAAAGGAGGTGATGGAGGATTCCAGGAAAGGGTTTGACAAGAGTGAACAGAGGAAAAGCAGGCCAAGGGTGGGTCCTTAGGAAAATCAGAAAGACAATTATAATTTCAGCATGATACATAAGCATAATTTCATATCAGAGAATTTAAAGATGCAGAGTAGCAATTCTCCCCTGCTTAAAGCAGCAGCCACTCGCTGCAGGGCCCCGTAAGCCTGTAAATCAATTAAACTCAAATCACAAAGTCAAACAGCATCTGTTCCCATCATGATATAAAACCTGCTAAAATGAAGAATCTCTGGAAGAAATAAGTTAAATCTTGTGTAAGTTGCTGTTTCCACTGAGCTGTTTTTCTTCACAAGGTTTCATTTCTACTCAGCTGTTTTTCTTCACCTAGTTTCAATCGCATACAGGTAGATTTGGGGCTTGGAAGTGTCCTAAGAGATCACCTGGTCTAACATATTTATTTTATAAATGAAAAATTTGAGGCTCAGAGAAGTGACCCAGGTCACAAAGCTAGCTTTCCATAAATGGGTTCATTTATATTTAAACTCACTAAATGTTTGGGGACCGAGCAGTTTATATCTCATAATGATACTTACCTGAGAATATTATTGACAGGAAGTGTTTTATATAATGTGTAGGCACAAAGTTTACTGAGACTAATTTGTGTACATTTTTCTTTCCCTTTACTAAAAACGTAGCCATCATTTTGTCTTGTTTGTTATTTTCCCCAAGGACATTTGGGTTGCAGGGATGAAAGCAGAGATTGCCTACCAACAAACAACTTTCATGTCTTTTAAGAATATTTTGAAGGAAAAGGGAGCAGTATCTTTCAGTGGAGAGAAGAGACACATGAAATGGGGGGGTGGGGAGACAAAAAGGTGATGGTGAGACAGACAGGCAGGTAGGCGCCTAAGGGTTGAGAGCACTTGTTCCCTACTCTCCTGACGATCCCCACTGAGTCTCTGCCCAGTAAGAAATGATTACTATTTTGCAATTTTTCGTTTGACCAAAGTCCCTCTCTGCTGTTGTTTGTGGGCTCTCTAGACACCCTGCTTTCTACACCTGTTATCCCATAATCTAGGAATAGAAGTTACCTTGCCAATTCTCATTTTTTCTTCAAAAGGATTCTCTACAGACTGAATAGTATTCATCAGAAACACCACGGAGTCTGAAAAACATATGTTCAGATCACTATTCCTTTTGGTTTTGATGCAATGCTGATTTTATTTTAAATAATTTAAATTTAATCATCTTTTATGAAATTTATTATTACCATTAATACTCTTCCCCAATATTCAGGGAAATTGATATTTTAGGAAAGTGAGCCATGTTCTGTGGCAACAAATATCCACACCCAGAATGACAGGTGCCTCTGTTCACGAAGTACAGAAAAGCAATCCAAGATACAAGTCATTTCTTGTAAGGTGTCAAAGTGGTGATGTAAGCACCTTTCTTCGAGTTAAGCAAGCAGTACTAATAGGTATAAATAGTAACTAAGTAGAAATTCAGAAGAGAAAGATGATACTTGTGAGAGAGTCTACAAAGAAAAGTTTGCAGAGATGATGGGGCCAAACTACGTGTGAAGATTAATATTTTTAACAATGGACATTCAGAAATTCTGAGTTTATCTTGGCACACTGAAGGGGGATTAACTTTTGTGAGAATGGGTAGAATAAGTGAGTAATTGAGGTCAATCTGAATTATATTTGAACACAATTTCTTCTTGGGAATTACAGGTAGGGCAGAGAATTTGAGAATCATTATATACTATATAATGGACATGGTTCTTAACATTGGGTGCAATTGGGAGTCTTTAAAAAAAATACAGATCCTTGGGCCTTGACTCTAAACCAGTTAAACCAGAGCCTCTAGTGATGGGATCCAAAATGGGTATTTTTAAAACTCTGTACATCTTTCTCATGTGTAGCCAGGTCAAACACTACTCATCTTGAAATTCTGAATGGGGGATGGGAGCAGGGTCATAGGCAAAATAATGGACTCCAAAGATGCTCATAAACTATAATCTCCAGAGCCTATGAATGTGTGACTTTACATGGCAATTGAGACGTCAGAAGTAGTAAAGTGAACGGTTTTGAGATGGGAAGATTATCCTGGATTATTTGGTGAGCACAAAATAATCCAAGGGTCCTTTTAAAAGTGATTACTTGTGAAAAATTTTAAATATATCTATATATGTATATAACAAGAATGAACCAGGAAGAAACAGAAAATATGAACAGACAAATTACCAGTAATGAATTGAATCAGTAATAATAATAATTTAAAAACTCCCAACAAACAAAAGCCCAGCCCTAGACGGCTTCACAGGTGAATTCTACCGAACGTTTAACGAAGAATCGACACCCATCCTTCTCAGGTTATTCCAAAAAATTGTAGAGGAAGGAATATTTCCAAACTCAATTTATGAAGCCAGGATCACCCTCATACCAAAACCAGAAAAAGACACCACAAAAAAATAAATTACAGACCAGTATCATTGATGAACATAGATGTAAAAATCCTCAACAAAATATTAGTGAGCCAAATTCAACATTAAAAGGATCATACACCATGATCAAGTGGGATTTATCCCAGAGAAATGGGGCTGGTTCAATATTCATAAATCAGTCATTGTGATACATCACATTAACAAATTGAAGAATAAAAATATATGATCATCTTAATAGATGCAGAAAAAGCACTTGACAAAAATTCAACATCCATTCATGATAAAACTCTCATCTAAGTGGGTACAGAGGGAACATAGTTCAACATAATAAAGGCATTTACCACAAATTTACATGTAACATCACACTCAATGGTGAAAAGCTGAAAGCCTTTCCTCTAAAATCAGGAATAAGACAAGAATACCCACCCTCACTACTTCTATTTAACACAGTATTGGATTGCCTAGCCACAGCAATCAGACAACAAAAAGAAATAAAAGGACTCCAAATTACAGAGGAATAGGAAACTCTCCAGAGGTATCAAGGAAATGATCTTGGAATATTTTCACTACCCAAGTATCTATTTCTCAAACAGTTGAAATACGGCACAGAAAAAAAGATTTCATTTTGGATAGGGAATGAGAATGGTAAGTTTGAAGGCTGAGAAAAATCTCTGGAATGTATATTTAAGTTATTTTCGTGTAATGCAAACAGCTGTTTGGAAGAAGAGTGTAGCTGACTGATCATTCCCACTTCGTGTGCTTTTTAGTCATTTTCTTTGCTGCATTAGGGGTTGTTTAACTCATTGTGAAAGGCTGTGAGGTAAGAAAACTTCCCCATGATGGAAAACAAACATCCCTCCTCACCCTGCAAGCAGCAGGTTTCAGCAAACTGTGTTCATGATTAATAATCCTTCTTTGACTTGAAAGGGAAGCTAGTTCTCACATAGTACCTACACACGTTCCAGATCCAGCACTGGAAGGACTGCTGAAGAAATGAAGGGTAGATGGCTTTTGTGTCACGAGACAATCAGAGATGTAGGGGGAAAAAAAAAACTAAGGAGAAAAGGCAGATAAGATACAGAATCTCAAGGTCTACTAGTCAAGCTATTGATCCAAAAGGTGGGGCTGTTACCTAGGAAATAGTGTATATTTGCTTGTAGAAGGACCATATCTAGGTATCTAGGAGGTGGCTGAGTAACCATCATTAAAGAACCAAGATTCACTTCATCTGAATTAAAACACCATGGAGATTTGAGTCCTCTGGACTTTTTAAGAAAGGAAGAAAGGAAAAAAAGATAATTTGGTCGTCTTATGCACAAGGTCTTCAGAAGTACCTAAATGTTTGGGTTTTCTAATAAACCGTTAGTCTTTATGTGAGTGCACACTTTGAACTAACTGCTTCTAAAGACCTTTAAAATGTTCTCAAGTGTGGCAGCAATGCTACACTAGAGGGATTTTGAACATGAATCGGGATTTTAAAAATACCTTTAGTAGGGGTCAGACACAGCCTGCAAGACATAGGTATATAGATACGATTATTGGTATAGGTATTTATGTAACTACATCCAGATCTGGATATGTATTTATATGAAAATATATAATATAAATGAATTTATATTAAAATTAATATAAATTAAAATTTTTATTAAAAGTTGGATGCAGATGGCATGGTATTTCTCCAGAATCCTTAGTTTATATTGTTTATGTTGGGAAATGCTATAAACTCCACATGATATCTCTTTCTACCACAGATACTACTTATGCTTAGAATCCACTTTGTCCTATGGGTCCCATTCAAAGTTGGAAGCTTTTCGTGTCACCAGGTATATATATATGATTTAGCCACAGAATATGCTAACAGGTGTAGAATAATGCTGCCTCCATAACCTAACTAAACCTATAAACCTATCAGGGATTGAACTTCTTTGTGTTGGGGTGTGAGATGAAATGATCTGTCCCATACTTGAGAAGCAATGTTCCAACATGCTCCAGACCACCAGTCCCCTACAAATCCACTGATAGCAAACCCATGAGTCATCACAGGGCTTATCTCCCACCTTCTGGATCACACGTGTCTTACCGAGCCTTCCTTTCTTCTTGCCACTTCCTGCTTATATAGGTTTATCCGCAAGATGTCATCAACATAGTGAACTGCTTTGATGTTCTATAGGACGAACACACGGTCTGGA